CAATAAGTTCGCCAAACTGAGAATACAGTTTATTGGCGAAACTGCACTCATTAAGGTTTACAATTGCATTTTAATATTTCTCTAAAATAAATTTTAAAACAAAACATATTAGTAAACATATAAAGTAATTAAAAACTAAAGACTAAGTAGGTAAAGTACACTTATCACTAAATTAATAACAAAGCTATAAAAGACAGAAAACTAATATCTTAAATTAAATTAATAATGAATAAAGATTAATAAAAAATAATTAAGATTAATAATTAATAATAAACTAAATATTACTACTACTAATACTACAGGTCGTCGATGGCATTCAGTAGCCAATATTTCAATTTGTTTTTAAAAATTTGTTTTGTCCGACAGGCCTCTTGTGGCACGTTTTCATTAAATATTCTTGGCACTAAATACCTACGCGTCCTTTCACCAAAGTAGTTTTGCGCACTTGGTTCCTCAAACAGTTTACGAGTTTCTTTCTTAAATTACCATAAATTGATTTCCTAACTAAAAATTTACTTTTGTATCCTTCAATTGCTAATAAATACTTTGTTTTTTCACGTACTGGTAGAATATTGCATTTCTTATACAATAGATTATAGTTACCCTTACTTTTCTCTTTAGCTTGCTTATTAACTAACAGTTTAATATTAAAAAAAAAACTGAAGGTAGCCGGACTAACTATGACATTGGGACGTCAAACATCTCAGTCCCCCCCGTGACCATGGGCGCTGTAAAGCACCCGAAACGTCGGGATAATAATAAAAATAAATTAAAGTAATTAAACGCGAAAAAAATCCGTAAATAATAGTTTTATTCAATGTGTAGTGTTCGCGTAAATTTAAGAAATCATTAGTTTAATAAATCTTAGTTGAAGATTATGTATCCTATCCATGTACGTTCGGAACGTACGTCCATAGGCTGAAAGGCCATAATTAATTACAGAATCCACGAGAGCATAGTACAGAATGCGTAAAGTTGTTTTATCAACTACACTTTTAAGGTGTACAAACATACATAATAACAATCTTAATTTATTACATACTCGTTCTATATGGAAATTCCAACTAAACTTAGTATCTATGGTTAATCCTAGATATTTGTAATTATCAACAAGCTCAATCGATTTACAACCAATGCATTGTTTATTTCTATGCAAGCAATCATACGAATGGCCTATGATACAAATAGGTGTACATGGTTTATGCAGGTATGGCGATTGAATGAGCATGCATTTCGTTTTCTCTATATTTAAAATTATTCCATTATCGTGGGACCATTTGATTACGTTATCAAAACCCGATTGTATTTTGTTCTCAATCATCTTTATATTCCTGTCAGCATACATCATGCATGTATGTCATCTGTTTCGGCATTACCGCTATGGGACCTATAGAGGCATCCGTAGACGCGCGGATGGTCGTCGCTGTCTACGCGTAGCCAAAGGATGGACAGGTCCGAACCTTCAAGTCTGCCGAGGCGTCGAGAACAGATGTCCTCTCTGACGTAAACGCAAACTCCAGCCCGAGGCACAAAGGAGTGTTACAGTTTGTACCCCTGGTAGGATATATACGAAACATCAGCCGGAGAGGACACCTGCGTCCCGGTCAGAAAGAGCAGAGCTGGCCACGCCCCCCATCCCCCCGAATACGCGGGGCAGCCCGAGCACCCACGCTCAGAAGTGGAGAAACATGGTCGTGGATGCTCAGCGAGGGATTCTCCAGGGGTGCTGGTACCCTCCTGGGGTAGTCTATCATCGTTTAATACCGCTACCATGTTGATGGGGGGGGGGGGGGGGGGGGATTTGGGCCTCCGGCCACATGCACTCACCAGACGAAACGCAGAATCACAGCTTCCACTTCACGCCGGTATTCTGTGAGGTCGTGGTACCACCCCGGTTTGAGCCGGCCCATACGTGCAACAGCAAAGCTGCCGCGTGGCTCTATCACTGTTAGTCCTCTTGGCTTTATTACAATTCGATGATAATATACCTAAGCATAAGCCCGAGAGCCGTGGTAGCTCAGATGGTTAACGCTCGCTGTAAATATAACCGAATGCGAATAACCCGAGTTCCACCAATGAAATTGTTCATGCTGATTTACCACGTGCTCGGCGGTGAAGGAAAACATCGTGAGGAAACCTGCATGTCTGAGGAATAAGAAAAAAATATTTCGAAGACATGTGTAGTTCACCAACAAGCATTAGGGCAGCGCGGCGGACACTTCCTTGTCCTAAAACCCTCTCACGTGTAAATGTGGGATGTGGGACGTATATAGGCTGTAACTTTACTTTTTTTAAACATGAAGTGAGCGTTGCACGTGAAAATCGAATATAAGGTTTCTAAAATGTAAATAACAATAAAAGGCACATTGAATATATGTAGCATGCAATATTTATTTATTTATTTATTAAAAGGTAACAACTATCATGATAGGAATAACCTAATGCGACAGTGTAGTTCCTTTTATGCCTAACAAAAATGTGGAAATTAAGAGTCAAAAATTGTAAACAATCCTACTCTATTAAATTCACTCAAGGAGCAACAGAATAGGTCAATGTCTTCAGCCACATAGTTGTAGCGGCGCGGGTGCGCGGTATCCGCAGCGGGACAAGTGGGCGGGGCCGGCGGCGCGGGAGGAAGCAAACTAGTTTGCGTTTCCCGCTCATGGCGTCCGGTCATATTTTTCTCGACGGAAGACATAATAAGTGCCGTTTTGACTTGGCCGCCATTGTGAAATTCTGGCGACCCAAATCTATTTCCAATATGTAGTCAAAAGAATTTATTGACATTCGCGTGTACTCAAAAAATTTATCTTCATAATTTCTTAATCTTACATATAACGCATAAAATTCGCCTTTTTGTAATGTATCTTTTTTTAAGTCATGATGATCGCTTTTGGAAAAAAATATCCTACTTATAGAAAGTATTAGTTTCTAAAAATTCAGACATGATAATGATACTAGTACGCGTTTACGCTAAGACTCCCCGTGAAGTACTGTGTTCACGAGAAGGAAGATGCGTTTACCGCCCTTCCTGCATCCGCTCCCGCCGCCCGCGCCTTTCCCACTGTGTTTGTAATGTAAGAATGCTTTGAACTTTCGCGTTAGGCCTCTGCCTCGAATCTTGCGGGCACCAGGCGGCGGCGGCGATGGCGGTGCGGGAGCGGCAGGATCTTATGCATAAAATCAAATGGACCGACCCTCAAAAACAACGGCACGTCAGCGGCGTGGCGGCGGCGTGGCTGCGGCGTGGGGAAGGGGGGGGGGCAATGAGTGGTTAACTGCAGCCAAGTGGTGACCGTCCGCACGTCTACATTGCAGTGTTGTGCAATTTATTTTTAAGATGTGTAGAAATGTCATCGAACGTGCAAGAGAAAAATAGAAGAGTAATTAACCCGTTATGGGAAGAAATTAAAAACGAACTGAATATTGAAGGTAAATATGAAAATGATTTACTCTGTCAACAAAATTACAAGTAATTAATTATCTTATCTATTATCTACAAAATATTTTTTGAATTTTTCGCGTATAAATTGTGCTTAACAAGTCCTTTAGGCGTTTGTTTGTGATCTTATTTGTATTATTTCTTGATTCATATTGACATTATTATGGGCAATATCATTATCACCGTCCTTATCTCGGATAATTTTATGCAACAAACAACTAGTTTTAATGAGTAATCTTGTGTGACATTTGTTTGTCTCTATAGGTGATCTGAAAATCTGTCACTTGGATCTTAAAATTCCGAACGCACACTCAATAGTCTTCCGAGCCCGCGATAATCGCTGATTAAATAACTAATTTGGTGCATTAAGTACGCTTTGAGGACAAGGTCGCATCAAATAGTTTTTGAGTTGCGTAACTTCCCCCCCCCCTCTATATAAATATATATTAATTATATTATATATAATTAATTTACCCCTTTTCAATAACACTATATATATATATATATATATATATATATATATATATATATATATATATATATATATGTGTGTGACCAGGATAAATAAGATATGATTTGACTTTCTAAATGATCTTTCTAAAGGTTTAATAATAGGCCGTTTGTAATATTTTTGGCGTGATCGTCTTAATTAGGACCCTTATTTACGTTGTGTTTGTTTAGTAACTTAGTTCTTTTAGGTGTCTTTTGGAAGAATGAATATTCACTAGAGCAATTGATAGCTGTTGGTAGTCCCTTATAAGCTAAGTGAACCCCGTTCACAAAGACAAGCCGAATAACATAAACCCTTTAATTTATTATTAATTATCCCTTCCCGCTTGGAAAAGGCTCACATTATATTTATACAAAATACCCAATACAAGCCACCCAAAAGGAGGCAGATGCACTCCCCCCGAAGGGAACGCTAATTCGGGAACTAGACCGTAGTCCACAGCAAAATAACTGGCGAACCAGTAAAAGAGGCTTGGCCCCTTGTTAGTGCGTAAGCACAAACATCGACCGAAGTCGCGCATGTCAATGCGTGTAAACGCCATACATAATACGAACGAATCTAGCCACAGTGAATGTACGTCACACGGTTTAGACAAATAGGCACACTGGCCGTAAATCCTCCATGAGCGCTACCACCTGCCAGACCGCCGCTCCTGCAGATGTGATGTAAGTGTATGGCATCACCACCGATTGCATGATTAGCACGGCTACTAGCCGCAGAGCGTGTCTTGAGTCTATCGCTCACCTCAAGGGAATGGGGTACCACGTTGTGCGGCTTTCGGACGCAGCCTTGAGAGTCTCCTCAGATCCTATCTCCAGCTACCACCCTCATGAGGTCCACACCGACCAACACAACGGCAGATATAGCCAAAAGGCAGTTATAAGATGTTAGTAATGATTTGCTATCAGAAATGGTTTGTGTCACTGACGTTGAGTATATGCATTTGTCTATCACGTTTTTCTCACTCACCAACAAGTTGCCTTCAATAATTCAAAGGTGGGAAAGTTACAGAGATATATTATTATGTTGTTATATAAAACATCATGGATGTCAGACAGTCCGCAGCCCCGTAATGAAGGGACTCGACCTGGGCAAATCTACTTAGGTGTGAGTCAAACCAAGACGCAGAGAGCGCCATTGAGAATAGCGTCCCACCAAACAACCATCGCAGAGACGCAATGCTACAGAACGCAACAAGCATCAATACGACTATCGTCGGGCTTACACCATCTCAAGGTCCCCCATACATCCCAGCAGACATCACCACCCGCATACCTTCATCGACCAGAACCACAAGAGTGCGTCAAATCAGGCGCAGCACACCCGCAGATCCATCACAAGACGCAATACCGCAAGAAGCAATAAGCATCAATGTAACTATCATACGGATGGCGCCCCCCTCACAACACACCCACATGATCCCTATCGACTTTGGTAACAAAGTTTGTATTATTGTTAACTAAAAAATATCACCAACGTATCATAGTAGCACGCTACTAAGACGCTAGTGAACAAAACTCCACGTATCATAGCGCTAATGCACTAAGACATGAAGTTGAGTATGCCTGTTACACTTAAAAGTGCTACCAAACACACTCATCATCCCAATCCGAAAGATAGACGACGCATCGCTATGCGCTACGACGTCGCCCACAAACGGTATGGATGTGCGATGTCCACGGGAAAGCCGTATTGCTACAACAAACCTGCTTACCACCAGCACTAAGATGATCTGTCTATGACACATTGGTTAGCGGGTCCAAGTTTACCTCGGACAAATTTCTCGTGAAGCAGCATACACGCCACCATAATATTCCTTTTTAAGTCCCTAATAAGGACTAGTCATTTTGCTACAGTACTAAGAGCAGTCGGTCACCAGACCACCCCATATAATGCTTATGCATCAAGGAGACCTTCTATAATATTGCTTTTGTATCATAGACCTTACTTTCATAAGTCATTAATATATAGGACTTCAACCCACGATTCTACTATTGTAATGCAAATTCATCATAGAGACCTTCTATAGTATTGCTTTTGTATCATAGACCTAACTTTCATAAGTCATTAATATATAGGTCTTCAACCCACGACCCTACTATTGTAATGCAAATTCATCATAGAGACCTTCTATAGTATTGCTTTTGTATAATTGAGTTTACTATCATAAGTCCCTAATATAGGTCTAGTCATTGTGCTACAGTACTTCAAGCAGTCGGGCTCCCGACTATCCCATACATATGTACAACTGCAGATATGTATCTCCGGCAGCTCCTCCATACAAGACATCTATACATTAACACTTTCCACAACTTAGGAAAATTTTCTTTTATACATGAACTCCTTCCATGACTTAGACAATTTGAACAAATTTTCTAATTATCTTATAAATGTTATTTATCTTTATTTTTATAATATTTTCGACTTTTATTTCTATTATTTATCATATTTGAAATATGTTTACAAGTTTTTAAATAAATTTATTTATTATGAAAGACAATATTTTGCCTTTAATTTACTATGTTATTGGTCTAATGTCTGAAATGTATTACATTAACTTTATGCTTATTAATGTAATTTTATTGCTTAATATATATATTAAGACTATTTTTGATGCCCCTTTATGTTGAATTTAATTATTAATAATTGGTTGGGCGGCGGGCCTAGGGATTCCCGAGTTCCGATTCCCCGGTCGAGCCTTAGCCCTATTACGCGAGATGTTTACACTATATGGACTGTATACGCGGATGATGCCTAAACAAGATGGCGGATTTGGGACTTTTACTTGACAATGCACTCGCTCTTACGAAAAAAAACCTATTGCTCGCCAAGGTTATGAGGGAATCCTGGTTGAGCACATTAAGAGAAATGAAATTGGGGCGGATAAATTAACAAAACACAAATACTCAAGCATGCGTCATAGGAAAAGAAGCGCACTTACCGGGGTGTGACTTCCGTTGCTGCGGTGCTGCTTCTGGCAGATCTCCTGGGTCCACAGGGATGCGGTCCTGGTCGGTGGTTCGACGGAAAAGAGCGGTGCGCGACGATATCTCACACTAGGTGAGGCAGTTAATCCTGGAGCTCGACTGCTCCAGGTTGGTGCGGTTTGAAACTAGCGGTGCGCGTGGGCAAGAGCCCTCTAGGACGCGACTGTCCCAGGCGGTGTGGTTCCAACCAGCGGCGTAAAGGCCAGAGAGCGCACGAGGGCCGTGCGCGCGCTTATATTGCTTCGATTCTTCTCTCAATGCGTCTCGGGGGGGGGGGGGGGCGCTTCTCATTGGTTGCGAGAATCACGCGACATTCTAGAATTATCTTCTTTCCCCTCTCACCCCACCACCCCGGTGTGTCGGAGGAACGATTCGTGAAGGAAAGGACAACGCTTGGCAAGCCTACCCTCGAATAAAATTAAAATACGAATGGTTTTCCGCGCAAACATCCCCCCCCGGCTTGAAGGATCCCCTTCAAAAATAACTAAAACAACACACAATTAAACTAACACATAACTAACGCTAAGATTAAACTAACCACATAACTAACGCTAAGATTAAACTAACCACATAACTAACGCTAAGATTAAACCCAAATTTCGACTACAATTTCTAATCTAAAAAGCTAATTTAAACTATTGAAGGGGCAAAGGGCACAAACGGACAACAGGACGCATGTAAGACCCAGTCGTAGTCCTAACGCGAGCTACCCTAATTACCCCGTCGGAACCGGGAAAAACCTTTTCGACAATCCCTAATGGCCAATGGAGAGGCGGCATATTCTCCTTGGTGAACACAACCACAGTTCCGACAGTTAAAGGTTCAGTTGCTGTGTTCCATTTTTGCCGAGACTGCAACGTATGCAAGTATTTCATCCTCCATCGTTTCCAAAACGATTGCACCAACCGGTCTAATAATTTATGGCGTGCGGAAATGCTAAGTTTGATCTCGTCCATATCTATGGCGGGCAAATACTTCAAAGGCGTTAAATTAAAAAATGTGCTGGAGTTAGAGCGAGTGGCTCTGAGGGGTCACTTGACAACGTACGACAAAGTGGGCGACTATTCATGACGCACTCAATTTGAGCGAGCACAGTACTTAACTACTCTCGAAGGACAAAATTTGATCTCCTATTACTCGGTATAAATGACTCTTTAGACTCTTAATATTAGTCTCCCAATTTCCACCAAAATGACTCGCCGCTGGTACGTTCAGAGACCATTCGATGCGGTTCTCGGCTAGAATGTGAGCGAACTCCGAATTATAATACTTGCTGGCTAAGAGTTCATGTAGTTTTGCTAAAATACGTTTCGCGCCGACGTAGTTCGTACCGTTATCCGAATACAATTTACTTACAGGGCCACGGCGGGAAAGAAATCTTTTAAATACGCCCATAAAGCCCGCTGTGCTTAAATCACCAACGAGTTCTATATGCACAGCCCGAGTAGTCAGACATACGAAAATGCAGACGTAAGCTTTGGTGGATCTTATACCACGCCCGCGAGTGAGCGTGACCTTAAACGGACCAGCAAAATCAGACCCGGTGTGCATAAAGGGCTTTACGGATTGTATTACTCGACAAGACTTAAGGTCCGCCATTTCCGGAAATGACGGCTTAGGGCGTACCCGAAAGCAAGCTATACATCTGTGCACCCGATTGCGGATTAAATTACGTGCGGAAAGAATCCAATAATTCTGACGCAAGATTGACATCAGCAAGTCGGGGCCAGCGTGAGAATTCAATCTATGATGGTAATCAACTAATAAATTCATGATATCGTCTTTACGCGGTAAAACTATAGGGTGCCATTGGTCGAAACTCAACTGCGAGTTGGACAAGTGTCCACCTAACCTGACGATTCCATCTTGTAAAAAGGGCTTAAGGCGTTGAAAAGCGCGACTACAAGTTCTATTCGATTGTAATCTTGTAATTTCATCGGAAAAATGTGCACGTTGAAGTTCACGCAATACTAGCAACTCGGCATAGCTGTAATCGGACGCTACGATATACGAACGTCGCGGTAAAAGCTTCGCGAATTGACAAACGTAAATCACGCTACGCAATAATTTCGACCAAGAGGACAAATGGTTCGCCAAAGCAATGATTGGAGAAACCTCGCTCGAAACGTTCGCCACTAGAGCGTGTCTCTTCTCTTCCGGTGGTTGGGACACTGACGAAGGGTCAAAATCGGTTATTGGCTCACTGCGAGGGTTCCAAGTGAACCCAAGAAGGTCCGTGGAACCAAAGCGGGTGGTCCATTATTTGCATCGGGGTGAGTCCACGGGATAGACAATCGGCAGGGTTTTCCGCACCGCAACGTTCCGTGTTCTCGTCTTGAATTTTGGCCACTCGGTTCGCGACAAACGTATCCCAACGGTGGGGTGAAGAATGAACTCAACATAAAGCGACGCTTGTGTCAGAAAAGGCAAATATTCTGTCTATGTGAACTCTGTCACTACATGCACTGATAACTGCGGTGATAAGCTTGGCAAGGACTAATATCGCGCAAAGATCCAAGCGCGCGAGAGAGACGATCTTACGGGGGGAGACTCTTGACTTAGAGCTAATGAGGCTGATCGAATTTCTACCATTATTCTGGACGTGAAAATATACAACGCCCCCATAAGCCTTCTCGCTAGCGTCCGCAAACCCAACGATCGTGATGACGCTATTTCTATCGACGTTTATATGACGTGGTATTTTAATTTCGCTTAGTAAAGGAAGTTCCTCTCTCAAACGCAGCCACGACTGAACAATGCTATCAGGCGGTGGGTCATCCCAATCGCATTCACATAACCAAAGTTGTTTAATGAAAAGCTTAGTGTATAGCACCACCGGGGCTACGAAACTCATGACATCCCATAATCTAGCAACGCATGACAGCATTGTGCGCTTTGTGCACGTTTCTGCGGGCGGGTTTACCTTAAGGCTAAACACGTCGGACTCCGGCGACCAACACAAACTGAGCACCTTGTGCGTATCAGAATCATCGAATTCTTTTATCGCCGAAAGACGGTGTGATAGTGGGATTGTATTTAAAACCGTACGCGAATTACTAGTCCACTTGACGAGATCGAATTGACCCGCTTTCATGAGCTTTATAACCTCGGCGGTGGTTAGGGCGGCCTCCTCCACGCTACCAACTTTCAATTGCCCTCTCAGCTTTAGGATAAGAGGGACCTTCATCATCGTAGGCGAGCTGTCTCACCGTGCGTAACGCATGAAATGGGCTCGACTTTAAACCAAAGCAAACGCGGTTAAATTCAAACACCATTAGAGGTTCTTTTGGGTCAAAACGATATAAAATGCGTTGGAATCGACGGTCGCATTCACGGACCCCTATGCAAAGAAACATTTGGTGAATATCGGCGGATTATGCTATACTGAACAAACGAAAATATGCTATTATATTAAATAAACTGCCCTGTAAAGTTTGCTTACTATAGAGAATATCTTTAAGAGACAGGTGAGTGCTAGTTTTAGCACTAGCGTCGAGCACTACACGTAACTTAGACGTAAGTTTGTCTTCCCTAATGACCCCGTGATATGGTATGGAATACGACGGTGTGTCTTCGTAGTTGTCTAATTTTGGAGCCACAAGTGATATGTAACCCCCTCCCCTTATATATTCTTTAATGACGTCGTCATAAGCTTCCTTTAATCGGGGTGAGGCAAGCATCCTACGCTCCAAACTATAGAAACGTTTTTCCGCCATTTAACGCGAATCGCCGAGAGATAAAACATCTCCTTTTAAGGGTATCGCTACACTATATCGACCGTCGGGATCACGAACGGTCGTGCGGACGTAAATCTCCTCGCATAATCTATCATCTGGGCTAACTATAGGTGGAACGTTCACCTCCTCCATCTCCCAAAATTTGCGGACTTACGACTCGAGCGGTTCGACAGCAATACAACAATAAGAGGTTGCCGAAATATTATTCATAATAGGGGTGGAGCCAACGATGACATAGCCCAAGACGGTTTCCAGTGCGTAAGGCGAAGTATGCGAGGAGTTGCCCCTGACCTTATTGTGTAACAAAAGATGAGGTAAAAGCGATGCTCCAATGAGCATGTCTATGTCTCCGGAGACGACGTAAATATCGTCTGCCAGAGTCATGTTTTCAAATTCAATCATTGCCGAGGTGTCAACCGAAACGGTTGGCAGACGTTCTGTGACTTTATCTACTACTAATTCATTTATGTCAAAGTTAATATTACGATCTAGCCGAGAATAAAATTTCAAATTTATATAGCCCTGGGTAATTTTATTAGTACCTCCGATGCCTTTGACTACGGGACATGAAGGTGTCCTATTTATTGGCAGTCCTAAATGCTGACAACATTGCCGCGTTATAAGGCTACTTTGAGATCCGCTGTCTAGCAACGTACGGACACTTTGTTTGTTTCCACGCGAATTTTAACTACGATACGGGCTGTACCCAGTAACACGATTGAAGGAGACTGTGTTCCCACATTCGACAATGAGCACAGAGCGACGTCAGCAGGTCGACCGCTAGAATCGTCGACTTTAGTAAGTGTGATTTCCTTATCCGATTTACTTGACGCGGGTATGTTGCCGTTTTCGAAGTGTAATAACGTGTGATGTCTGCTGGCGCACTTGTTACACACGGAGCTAGAATTGCATTTAGCAACTAAATGTCTATCGCTTAGACAATTCAAATATAAGTTGTTCGTCTTTACTATTCTATAACGTTCGCTGGGTGAATGTCTACGAAAGGTCGCTCAATTATATAAATTAACGTGTTGTTTATTTTTAGATAGAACACAGGCGCTATGAAGCGATGCAGGCGCAGCGGTTACCTACGTTAGAGACCCTGCGGGTCTAGATGATGAATGAAGTCTGTCTGCGGTCGACACATTTCTTGACTTCTTGTTTGACGTTCGAGAAGCGCTGTATCACTTTAATTTGATCTCGCACAAAAGATGCTAATAAATCGAATGACGGTAACTCAGAACTATTTCACACGCACGCACGGTATCTGAGTCTAATTTCTTTAAGGCGATATGGAGAAACACCACGTCCATAAGGTTATTAAATTTCAGGTTCTTAAGTGCAGCCACCGATGCTACAAATTTATCCAAAAACTGCTCTAAGCTGGTGATGTTCGCGGATGATATAGCTTTAAGATCGAATATCTGGTCTAAATATGAAGAGGCTAACATTCGCTTATCTTCATATTTGTTTTTAAGCGTTTCGAATATTAACGAATTATTGTTGTGAAACCCGAACAAATAGACTGTGCCCTACCGCTTAATTTACTAATTAAGTAATATAATTTTTCAGCGTCGGATAACGATGGATTATTATGTATGTTCTTTTGAAAACTACTAAAGAAAAACGGCCATGTTTTAATATCGCCATTGAATACTGGAATATCTATGGGGTCAATCTAAGTGAATCACGTGGGCGTACCTGGGCTTCCGGCTTTGCTTCGCTTTGAGATGGGGACTGCAAGATCTTTGCCGTTCTTTTCACGCAACACAACATATGTTCAAATGATAGAAGCAGCTGATAGTTTACTGTATACTTAGGGTCGATTTGTAATTCCAAATTATTAATTTGGTCTAATATCTTTTCGTAATCCGTCCGCAAAGAGTCCACCGTTTCGATTTCACATAAAAACGTCTCCCGCACTGCTTCTACGTTAATATTCCTTATGTGATCACTTATATATTGTATACGTGAAAATAGTACGTCCCTCTTGGAGTAAAGAGTTTTAAGTTTAATTTCATTTCCAATAACTGCCATTTTAAATCACTATAATTAATATTCGATTAATCACAATTTATCGCACAACACTGGAGGATGGACACAGTGTAATACAACTGTATCTCACAACACTATTGTCTTATTGTGCCGTATTACGTCATTAAATTGAACACCTTTGCAATGAAACGAGACGACGCGCGTCGATAGATAAGAATCTAAAACTCATACTATTTTTTACAAATCGTGGGTAAGCCGAATAAGGCCAAGAGGAATCAAACTATTTTGAATAAATGAGTCGATTTACTTATGCGAGTAACTAATAAATAAATTTAAACTAAACAAACACTATTTAAATGAATAATTCTATTTGCGAATAAAACTAACCAAATTTTAATTTTAAACTAAACGAACATTATTTAAATCTATTCAATTTTAAATTAGAGTGCATTGTCTACGGAATTAATCTAGCAATTCGATGATTGAACGGTTGGTGAGGCTATAAGCACCGGTCCAAATCCGGCCGAATGACCAGAAAATGGATGGTGAGGTTACAAAACACCAGTCCAAATCCGGCTCGAAGGACCAGAAAATGGTTGGGTGGCGGGCCTAAAGGTTCCCGAGTTCCAATTCCCCGGTCGAGCCTTGGCCCTATAACCCGAGATGTTTACACTATATGGACTGTATACGCAAATGATTCCTAAACAAGATGGCGGATTTGGCACTTTTACTTGACAATGCACTCGCTCTTCCGAAAAAAACCTATTGCTTGCCAAGGTTATGAAGGAATCCTGCTTGAGCACATTAAGAGAAATGAAATTGGGGCGGATTAATTAACAAAACACAAATACTCAAGCATGCGTCATAGAAAAAGAAGCGCACTTACCGGGGTGTGACTTCCGTTGCTGCGGTGCTGCTTCTGGCAGATCTCCTGGGTCCACAGAGATGCGGTCCTGGTCGGTGGTGCGATGGAAAAGAGCGGTGCGCGACGATATCTCACACTAGGTGAGGCGGTTAATCCTGGAGCTCGACTGCTCCAGGTTGGTGCAGTTTGAAACTAGTGGTGCGCGTGGGCAAGAGCCCTCTAGGACGCGACTGTCCCAGGCGGTGTGGTTCCAACCAGCGGCGCAAAGGCCAGAGAGTGCACGAGGGCCGTGCGCGCGCTTATTTTGCTTCGGTACTTCTCTCAATGCGTCTCGGGGGGGGGGGGGGGCGCTTCTCATTGGTTGCGAGAATCACGCGACATTCTAGAATTATCTTCTTTCCCCTCTCACCCCACCACCCCGGTGTGTCGGAGGAACGATAAGTGAAGGAAAGGACAACGCTTGGCAAGCCTACCCTCGAATAAAATTAAAATACGAATGGTTTTCCTCGCAACCAATAATAGTATTGGGCCGTAACAATCCACCCCCAAATTTTATGTTAATGACCCACACAGTGGATTTGTTGATATAAAATTTTACTATATTGAGAGCATAATATGCACTACGCTCAAAAATTTGAACTTATGTGTATCTGTTCATTCCTCTTTCAATCTGTTACAATTCAGTAAATATTTTCATTCTACCCTACCCCAGGGAATGGCCGCCGCCAACACCCCTTCAACCATATCTATCCCAATGCGATAACCCATAAATTGTTATCTTGATAAGCTTATTGTATATTATGTTGTTAATATAGTGTTTCTCTGTAGTTTTTGACTTACATTTTAAGTCTTTAAAATATTAATTCAGCAATGTTGTCTTTATATGTACAATATTTTGAATATGTATTGAAATCAGATGGCTACACACCCACAGGATAAATGTGATTCAGCCATTCACCCTGACCCAACTCCCCAAATTTATTCAATAAAAAATATTTTACAAAATTATCTTACAATCAATATTTACAGATAGTCATTAATATAATTAATACACAATGAGCTATTATGTACCACGTACTAGAGGCGACACTGCATTCAGCTACTCTGTTCCACTCAACTGCAGTGCATACACCGCACTTTTATCAGTCACTAGCTAGGCGCTTGTGGAGTTGTCACGTGTTGTGTTGATTTAAAAAAAATCGCTTGATAAAAGTATGCTGTCGTGTGTACTTAGATATTGCACAAATAATTCAAGAAATGTTAGTAAAAATCAAGAGATTACTTTTCATCGGTTAATAAGATACTTAATCAATAAAAAAATTATAAATTTATAATTAAACAAATTTTTCCAAAGACGCCATTTCGTGTCATGGAATATAGATTATGAAATTAATATGTTCAGATGCGACATTTCTGTGGGTACTTAAGTATAGGACGAATATATTATTATACACATTTTTTGTAGAAACATATATACGTTATTATAATTAGGCTAAATTTTTCATGTTTAAATCTGCTTAATATTCTTTTATTTTATTATTAGGTTTCTAAGTCAAAGTGGAATAAATTCGTCCATTTTTAATTCTTTCGTGC